AGGGGATCTCGTAGTCGAGCAGTCTCGACTAGAGCTTTCTTACTTGTTTTTTATTCATTTTGACATGTGGAAAAGCATGTATGTACATACGTGCATTAAACTTTTTCTCTCTCTTTCTCTCGTTTTATCGCTGTGCAGGGACTTTCTCACTGAATGTCTATTTCCATCGCCCACGCGCCCATATGAACTGCCGTGGGAGCAGAAAACCATTTGGGCCATCGTATTCGGCCTGATGATGTTCGTGGCCATTGCGGGCAATGGCATTGTGCTGTGGATTGTTACAGGTAAGCTCTTAACGCGTTTGCAATTGTTTAAAATGCTCGACTCTGAGCGGCGCTTTAAGACACATCCTGGCCATGTGAACATATGGACTCAACTCGCGGTTCAGAGTCACACAGCTTAGTTGTCAATGCCTCTGAGGAACGAGGCAGGCAATATCCGGTGGCTTTATCTTTGCTTTCACGTCTTAGTGTTTGTGGCATTTTCTTGTGTCTGTTTCTGTCCGCAGGACATCGCAGCATGCGCACGGTCACAAATTATTTCCTGCTGAACCTGAGCATCGCTGACCTGCTAATGTCCTCATTGAATTGTGTCTTCAACTTTATATTCATGGTGAACTCGGATTGGCCATTTGGCTCGATTTATTGCACCATCAACAATTTTGTGGCCAACGTAACGGTTTCAACATCGGTCTTTACCCTGGTCGCCATCTCGTTCGACAGGTGAGTGCTAAGTGTTTGCCATAATCTTCATTGCACCAATATCCGCATCCCCGTCCGCATCCGCATTGGTATCCGTTTTTGCATCCGTTTTGTATATTTGCAGATATATTGCCATAGTCCACCCCCTGAAACGGCGCACGTCGCGTCGCAAGGTGCGTTTTATTCTCATCCTGATTTGGGCACTGAGCTGTGTCCTTTCCGCCCCCTGCCTGCTCTACTCCAGCATCATGACAAAGCAGTAAGTGAAGTGCTTCCACGATTTACATATACACGTATATATGACCTTGCCTTGGCTTTGCAAAGTCAGCGCAGGGCCGGCAGTCTCAGCTGAATATTTTGTTTACTCTCCGGCAGTAATAAACATAAAGAACTTTGTAAGACGAAAGTTCAAGATACTTTTCACGTAGATACTTTCACACACAGAACACCACCCGCAGCTCAATCGCTCGCTGTGGACTTTGAGCATATTTTCATCGATTCACTGATACTCCAGGATGTTATAATAGGTCTCAGCTACTCCCACTCCCATTGTCATTGCCATTGCCATTGCTCAAATATATTGCATTAGCTAACGTTATGAGCACCTGAAGCTCAACAAGGCTCCTGCTGACTTCACATTCATTTGAATTTTACGCAAATTCGCACATTCAATGAACGAAATGGCACGTTCGCTTAATAGAATTGAAGCTTTTAGACTTGTATGACTAAGTGATTGACGGACTGACGGGTAGGAGTGGCACTGGCACACATTCTCGAGATAAAACGTTGCCTAGGCTAATAGACAAGCTAGCTTATACATAGAAGTATTTATGATGTGAGTGGAATAAGAGGGATAATAAACAGGAGAAATTTGATTCTATGGAGAAAATAATTTTTATACCCTGAACCCATTGAAAATTGGAAATCTGGGTATAATGGTTTTGTTAAAATGTATGTAACAGGCAGAAGGAGGCG